TCCCCCCCCCCCCCTCTTTCCCGTGTGTTAATTCAGTCCCCCCGGGCCGTCTTGCTGAGGCCGCGATCGCACAGGGGACACACCTGCATGCCATGCCATGCCGAATACACTACATGCGACACACACATAGCACTCACTCACGTCACTCAGACATGACCCCGTCCCTCACCATCACCATCACCCACACCCGCATACACGCACACGCCGACAGACAGACAGACAGTGGCGTGAGTGATAAGACATGCAAATGGACACCCGCGACACCCGCCGGGGCTCATGCGCCCTCATCATTAGCCATCAAAACCAACTCTGATCTGATTGCGTCGATGTAATTACTGTCATGTTCTCCCCTCCTCCCATCCATCCATCCATCCAGCCACCCAGCCACCCAGCCATGCGCGTGGGTGGGATATATGGGTGGCAAAAAAAGGCGCTGTCTGTTCGATCGAAGCAATCAGAGTTGGGATCCAATTAGTGCATGCGTGGTGAGCCGAGCCCCTACCCATCACATGGACGCAGTCAGTCAGTCAGTCAGTCACTTCAAATGACTGACATTCGCTCTTCTCTCAATCAACGTACGGACACACACCGTGTGTCTCTCTCCTGTCTCTCGGTGCCCATAAAAATGCCTGCGCGGCGGCCGCGAGACGACTTAAAAACAGCAGCAGCCAGAGTAAGTGGGTGCACAGAAAGAACTGGATGAGTGAATGAATCCATCCATCCATCCATGAATCAAAAGAAATAGATAGAGATCCCCAGCTCCCTCCCTCCCAACAGCGTGTAGTGTACGTGTGGACGTACGTACGTGTAGCTAGCCGTGTAGAGTGAATTCTTCCGCCCCCGTCGGTCGCTCTTGTCGTGTCGTGTACCGTCAGTCCACAGGGAGGGGCACACGACAAACAACGCACCTATCGAACCACTCACTGGTTGACCAGCCCTTTGGTCAACCCGCGTGGGGCTGATGTGATGCAAAACCCGTCCATACGCGATCATACACATACGGAGGGAAAAACGAGTTGGGCACACCGACCAGGGGAGTCACTCCAGCCCCGCGCAATCAATGCCATCTGTGCTGTGCCGTGCAGTCCTGGTGCGTTCGTTCAGTCAAAGCAGTCGGCCGCCCTTGATACATACAATACACTCGGTGTGGCATATAGGCAGCAGTCCTGATGGATGTCAGATCAGTGGAGAGCAGTGTGCAGCAAGGCAAGGCAAGGCAAGGCAAGCCATGGAAAAAAGAGCCAGCGAGTAGTGTGGGCGGGTGGGTGGGTGGGTGGGTGGAAGGTGGGTGGGGAGGGCAAGCCCTTCTTTCTTACTTAATTAGCAGCACGGACTGCCGGCCGCAGCTATTAGCTATGCTAGGGTATGATGCATCCGATCCAAATGAACCAACCAGATAAATCCCCCCATGTGTGTGTACTTGCGGGCGGGCAGACAGAGACAGACAGACAGACATGTGTGTACCTCTACCTCTAGGTAGGTGTATCATCAGAGACCACCACTCGTCGACCGACCTGCAACGGATAGCCGACAGACACCAGGAGAAGCGGACACCAGATACAGATGCCGCCCATGACATGATTCTGACTCGGGGATGTCGGGCCCGCTCCAGCCACCTAGCCCATTGCTGAGTCTCTATTGCAGCACTGAGCTCGGTGGCTGGAGCGGGATCGACATCCCAAGTGACGAACGAGGGCATGCAGCGCTAAGTCAGAAAGAGAGAGAGAGAGAGAGAGATGATACCGTTTGTTTGTCTGATCAGGCGAGATCTGATCAGCCCCCCCCGCCCCACCCACAGCCAGCTGAGGAAAAAGAAAACCTCAGACAGACATGTATGTGTTCGATGCATCAATCGACGAAACAAATGCACGTGATGCACAAATGGTGCGTGTGCGTATGTGCGTGCGAAAAACGCGAAAAGAAAACCCTTTGCGGACAGGCGGATGGGGTGGATGGGATGAGGTGTGTGCGTCTGTGTCAAAGAGGCAATTCTTTTTCTTTGGCAGAAGAGCCAACTACGGACAGAGAGGGACATACAGAAGCAAGCCGAGAGAGAGAGCTGAGCCGGGCTTGGCTGAGCACAGCCCACTTGTACGGCCGGCAGCGGATGAACAAAGCCACACACAGGTGTGAGCGAGCAAGCGATAGATAGATAGATAGGTAGAGGTAGATGAGCCGTCGGCCTGTCTGTCTGAGTGTGAGTGAGTGAGACCACATGCACAGCTATGGTACAAACATACTGACACACGCGACGCGTCCCTCCCCACCTGCGCTGCGCACACACGCAAAAACCACACCACATGAGTCAGACAGAGAGCGAGAGAGTCCTCACCACTGACAAACAGCTAGCCGATGAACTTCGTAGGTACCAGGATAGGAAAACCCGCCGCCGAGAGAGAGCCAGAGCCCATATGTCAACCCTCCTCCTCTCTGATGCAATCAATGCAGGTAGGCATGTATGTGATCTCTCTGTCCTCTCTGTCCGCCGGTCCGGTCGGTCAGCAAAAGTGCCCCTCGGCATCTGTGTGCTGACCACGCACGGCTAGCCAGAGAGAGAGCTGGGAAGCAGCAATAGTAATTGGTGGCGGTCACAAATACCCTCCCAGGCCAGCGCTGTATGTATGCATGCAGCCATCGATCCCCTGTGGACCGTGTGGCCAGCCAGCCCCTATACAACCAAGAGGGAAGAGATTCAGTATAGATTAGGCAAACAGACAGACAGACAGACAGGCAGGTCGGTCGGTCGGTCGGTCTGTCGCCCCCCCTCCCCCGACCATCCCTCTCCCTCCCCCCTCACTCCAACAACACGACAACACACATGAAACACACCAACACGTGTACGTACGTCTGTACGGGTGGATGGATGGATCGATAGATCAAGCAAACAATCAATGAGTAATAATCGGCAAGGCAAAAAAGTGAGTGGGTGAGTGCAGAAACGACCTTCCGGCCGGCCAGCCAACCAGCAACGTCTCTCTGTGCTGCGTGCGCTATCGACATACACACATCGACAGACAGCGTGTGGGTGTGTATGTGTATGTGTATGTGTGTACGCGTGAAGACGACTATTGATTGATTGGTGTGAATGAATGGAATGGGGGTGTGGTGTAGTGCGGCTGAGTGGAGTGGGTGGGTGAGAGCGGGAGTGAGACAGTGCGCACCATTAATTCGCAGAACCAGTCATAGAAATGGCCATCCCTCCCTCCCTCTCTCCCCCATCCATCCATCCATCCATCCAGGTACCCACCCATCGAATGACATAAAACTAGACGCGAGTCACTGATTAGGGCGCGCTGACGGCGAGTGTGCATTGCATAAGTCTGTCTATACGTGTGCATGTGAGCGTAAGTGCCTTGGGGGCTAATGCCTTCAGTTGCATTGCATGCAGGTGAAGGAGAGGCAATACGATACGGACGGGCGTCAACACCAAAACCCCAGGCAGCCAGCCAGCCAGCCAGGCAGGCAGGCAGGCATAAAAGCAACAGCCGACAGACAGACAGACAGGCAGACGTGCACCGACACGGCATGGAATGGCATGGAAGCGGTAACCCAAGTCGAGAAAACCATGCACGCATTCACGTAATGCATCCCCCCCTCCCCCTCTCCCTGATCGACGCGAAATGCACGGGCATCATCCCCCCTCCCTCCCTCCCTCACTGCATGGACCACGGATGTGTGTATGATGCATGGCTGGCACCGTACGGCCCGCCACCACCATAGCCTCCAGCCCACTCCGGCCACGCCTCAGCATCCCCTGCCATGCTGCTCCCGCTCATGTACTGGTCCCCCATGGCCATGGCCATGTGGTGGTAGGACGGTGTGTCGAAGCCCTGCTGGTGGTGGTGGTGGTGGTGTTGCTGCTGCTGGGGGGTGAAGGTCATGGCGGCAGAGGGGTCGATGGTGTCGTGTAAGTAGGGATGATGTGGCTGGGGCTGGCGGGGAGCCGGGAGGTGCTGCATCAGATACAGAGCACTCGCCTGACACACAGACAGACAGACAGACAGACAGGAAACCCAGAACACACGTACACGTGTCTGTCTGTCTGCCTGTCTGCCATGATGCCGTGGCAGCCCTATAGGTACCTCCCTGACTCACCTGCTGCTGCTTCTTCAAGGCCGCTTTGTCCTTCCTCCTCGGTGGCACAGGAACGGCAGGAGCCAGCGGAGCCACAGGGTGCTGCGGGGGCGACGGCGGCCGCGTCGATGCCCTCGTCGATACACCCCCCTCGCCCAGCAGCTCTGACAACACGAAGGGCCGCGACGCGGGCTGGGCCAACGGACCGACCCCCGGAGTGGAGGCAGCGCTGTTAGGCCGCGGCGGGCCGGTGGTTGACGATGCCTCCGAGATGCCCGTGTTGCTGCGGGCCATCAGGGGAGGGACAGCCTTGGTCGATGTGACCTTGGGTGGCGGGTGGGGGACTGGCACATCTGGTGTGTCTGTGCGGGTGGGAGGGGCCGTGTGTGTTGCTGCTGCTGCTGCTGTTGTAGATGGCGGTTTGATGACCTTGCTGTGGCTGTGTCTGCTGGCGCCCTGCTGCGATAGCACGTGGAGTTTGGCGAAGAAGTCCAGGTCGTCCTGAATCTCCTTGGCGAAGAACGGCTTGCTCGCCCAGCCACCACCGGGGGCGCCAGCCCCGCTCGCGCCACTGCTGCTGTTCTCCCCAGCACCGACCTGCTTGTCGTCATCCTTGAATGACGATGCGCGTGGAGCAGTGAGGTCCATCGGCTGGGGCGGGTGTGGGGGCTCGTGCAGCGTGCTGAAGGAGGGGCTTGACGACGTGCTGCGATCGCTGGTCGTTGAGAAGCCGGGCGGCGCGGTGCGGTTGGTGGGCGAGTTGCCGCTGCCGTGGCTGCTGTGAGTGCTGGCGCTGCATGACCACACCCTCTCGCTGGAAGACCGTGCACCGCTCTTATGCACCGGAGGCGGCGCACACACCTTCTTGACGGGCAGCGCTGAAGCTTCAGTGTCGGCAGTCTCGCCACCATCCGGCCCGTCCGTTGGCCAGTCGGGGACCACCACATCCAGCTGCTGCGTCTGGCCGTCTGTTGTCGTCTTCTGCCCCTCAGACACGAGATGCAGTATGGGCGGCAGGCCGAACAGAGGGGATGTGTGTGGGCTGGACTGACGCACCACAGACGGGGAGGGGCGGCCTGGGGGCGCCTCTAATCCTGCTGCTGAAGCAGCAGCAGCAGCTGCTGCTGCTGGGGTAGTGGTCGTGGTGGGGAGGGGATGCTGCTGCAGCTGCCGTTGGTCATCCGCCAGTGTGCCAGGGGCGGTGGTGTCGGCCGTGCCGGTGGTGCTTGCGATCAGCTTGCTGGGCCAAAAAAAGAACTTGCGAAGCTGACAACAGGCACGACAAAGCAGCTGTGCTGTGAAGGCCTCCCACTTCCCCGGCCACCGACCCACCTTCTGTGTGAGTCCCCTTTGTTCCCAGCACACGACTTGCAGCCGCGTCGGTGGCAGGGGCATGCTGCGCTCGTGACACCACAGCAGGTACTGCTCGTGGGCCGCGTTCACCAGCTCGGCCACCAAGTCGCACGCTGCACACACCGAGAGAATGACGATACCATACAAGACACACAAAGCAACAAAGCGCCACAGAGCCGTCAACTGTGGGAGGGAGGCATAAGGTTGGGCATGAGTCATGCCAGACCTACCCTTTCGATAGCCCTGGTAGTTGGGACACGAGACGCACAAGTGGAGAGGCTCCACAGGCTCTGCACGCGCACACACACATCGAAATTTGGTGTGGTAGGGTCGGTCTGTTGCTCACTCACCTCCAGTGTTGAAGAGGTCATCTGTGTCATCTGAACCCCGCCCCCGCAGCCGCAGCTTGGTCATGTAGTGCGAGTTCTCAATCACACGCTTCATGTTCCCACCCTGCAGACAACGAACGAAGCAGCCACCACGTCTCTCTCTCTCTCTCTCTGTGTGTGTGTGTGTGCATCTGTTGTCTGCCACCACTTGCCTTGTGTCCGATGATTCGCGACGAGACGTCGAATTGCGTGTCTTGTGGGATGCCGATGGGGAACTTGCACGTGTACTTGCGAAACGATGGGCACAACGTATCGGGGAAACTCTCCGTGTTGACGCCTGCAGACAACAGAGAGCAATGCCCACGCTTCTTCTGCGTCACAGGCGTGCACAAAAGATAGATGACGTGGGTACCTACCTGCTCCCCCGCCGAAAGGTGGTTTGAGGATCGACGCGGCCGCCCATGCATACTCGAGACGGTCAGCAGCTGGACACACGCACACACACACACACACACAGAAGTGAGTGGCTATCACGTCACGTGTGTGTATTTTGGTTCTCTCTTTCCCCCCACCCCACGCAGCGCATCGCACCTGCTTTGGTGAGTTTGCCTCGTGTGACTTGTTGCATGAGCGTGTTGTAAGTAGCAGTGTTCATGTTGGCCAGCAGACCCGTCCCCACCAGTGTGCTCGGATGGTTCAGCCCCAGCTGAGCCGCCACAGCAGTGAGCAGCGGGTTGCCGCCCCCATGCCCATGCAGCTGCCCGCTGGCGCTGGCGCCCCACTCCGCGAGACACCCCTCGTCAGCCATGCTCATCGTAGTGCTCATGGTCACGTTTCTGTCGTCGGGCTGCCTCCACTGCTGCTGCATCTGCTGCAGGCACATCCAGGGAAGGTCCAGCGCGTCCGATGCCACTGTGTGGTGGTCGTCTCGAGTGGCACTGTCGTGGCTGGCACTGCTGTGCGTGGGGCTGCCGTCTCGCGTGTGTGCGTGTGAGTGAGCGTCGCGGTCAGGGGCGGGGAGAGGGAGGGGGGCGGCGTGAGGGGCGGGAGTGGCACTGCTGGTGGTGTGTGTGGGCTCCATGGGGGGCGACAGCACTTGGGCGATGTCTCGCAAGGGGACCACACGCAAATGCCCGTCGGCGAGCAGCTTCTGAAAGCCGACGCACAGAAAAACACGTGATGATCACGGTGGGCTCATTAGAATGGCTCTCCTCCCTCCCCTCCCAGTGGAGTGGCTGGCCTGCCACCCACCTGTCCGTGCAGCTGCCTCTGTGCCTGCTGTGCCGTCTGTGGGGAGTCGAACACCACTATGGCGAAGCCGCGGTCGGCAACCACACCCTCTACTGTACCAAACCGACCGAAGATCTGCACACACACAGACATATACATAAACACAAAGGGTATTCATTGCCGCCTCCCTTGCTCGTCTGCTACTTTACTTGAGTGCGTGAGTGATACCTACCGTGTGAATGTCGCTCTCAGACACTGTGCAAACGTCCCTCGGTTCCACCGACACGACCACTGCTTTGGATGGATCAGCGGGGGGCGACGGCCGCGACACTCTCGTTGTGTTCTGCGTCATATTGGACAAGTGGGGGTGATCATGCAATGACTGGGGCAGAGCATCGCTGCCGAAGTGGGGAAACAGAGGAGAGGGGCGGCCGGACGAGGCGGCGACGTGCTGCTCTCGCTCCATGTGTGGCGCAAGCACACGCGCACGTTCGGGGCGGATAGCTGCGCTATCTACGGCTGTCGAGCAGGACTCTTGGATGCGACGCGCATTGAGACTGACACACATCAGACAGACACAAGCCGAGGGCCATGGATGGCCGTGTGTGTCTGTCTCGCGTTGGTGTTCATGGATCTCACCGTCAGGGATGGCCCGCTTTGGCCAGATCCAGCCGCCGAATTGATGCTGCACGAGACCCGTCACGTCTTGTGACCCTCGTCTCTCAGGCGGGAAACAGGCAGCAGGAGGGTAGATCACATAGAGGTGCAGCAGCCTGCTGCGTGTCCGCAAGGCGCCGCCCACAAAGATGCAATTTTTTCCAAGAGAGACCGATCGTGAGAGCAGCTCGCAAGCTCGCATGTGAGGAACGACGTCAGGCCGCCAGGGTGAAACCGCTGCTGCAAGAACGACGCGCGGATCTGCTCCTCCCATCGCAGCTGCACAAACTGGTTGCAGCGCTTTTTCAAACACATTTCAAGGTTCCGGAACGCCGTCGGCTGTTGTTCTGTGTGGAAGGGAGCAGCTTGGGATGCGGACGGTTCATTTGGTTTTTTCAAGGGCGAACTCGCTCGTCTTAACAAGCATGAGAGACGAAAGACGGCAGCGCCCGTCCACCTGGCATCTGGCACTGCTGGCCATCGCTCTGTGGACAACAGCATTCTGCGGTACTGCTTCCGGCACCCCACCCCCTTCATCCGCGGCTGCGGCGGGCCCATCGCCATTTCGAGGGCCGTACTCGCGGCAAGTTGTGGCTGACCTGTGGACCAGTAGGGCCCAGCGAGGAGCCAATTCATTGGACCCACAGACGGACCTCTTATCGGGGACCCCCCTTTCTGGTGTGGACAAAGACGCGGTGCGGCGACAACGGAGGAAGAAATTCCGCGACGCGCTCGACAGCGTGAGGAGTGCGCTGCCGAGAATTAAGATCAAGACGGAGCCGAAGGTACGCAGAAAGCAAGCAAGCGTCCCTCACGCCCGCGACGGCCGTCGTGTGCGTTCTTTTTCCCTCTGGCTGTCTGTGTTGAACACAGACCTTCCTGAAGATTCGGAAGACGCTGTTTCCTTTAAAGACGCGGCTGACGGTTGGTGCCGACTATTCGCTGCAGGATCGTCAATGGAAGCTGGTGAGCAGCTGGCAGGACAATGTCATCGGCGGCACCATCACCCTCAACGGGCGCGAGTTCAGCATCGCCAAGGACTGGTTCCTCCCCTTCAGCGAGATCGACCAGCACCAGGTCGGCGCCAAGCTGCGGGTGCACGCAGGCCTCAATATGGACACAGGACGGCTGTTCGCCAAGTTCCGCATGCGTGCTGAGCGGCTTGCGCCCATCGCCTTCGGTGACGGCATCCGGATCGACCAGCGAGTGCCCCTTGACGGGCGCAATGGCAACGCGAAGCTGGAGGTCAAGGGTCGCGTGAGTTTCCCCGAGCCGCAGGTGGAGTACAGCACTGACAGGCAGGGCAACGTTGGGATCATGACGGGCATGGGGGACGTGGAGGTGGCCATCGAACAGCTCAATCTGTGCTTTGAGTACTGACAAACGGACTGGCTAATTGAGGGCGAATGGAGAGGAGGGGGGGGG